GAATTTAATCCAAGATTTTCCATTCAAAATCCCACATTTTCTTTTCTTTTTAGTTTTACCCATTTTTTATTTTTTTTACCAATTGACTTTGACTTTTTTTTACTCAAAAAATAGAAATTAAATAAAAAATTAGACTCAAAATATTAAAATATAAATAAAATTTAGGGCTTAATCTTGGACCATAAATTCACTTTTCTAATTAATTAAAGCCTAATTACACAATTAGAATCAAAATTCAAAACCCAATAAATTTTAAAAAAATTTTGGATAAAATGAAGTGTCTACAAAATATATTCAAACCTAAAACACATTTTCATTCCAAATAAAAGCCATACCCAAAACCTATCATAAGATTCACAAACCAAAAACATATAAAAAAAGAAGAAGCAAAAACCACAATCTTCACATATTTTGAGAAACCCAACAAAGAAAAAAAAACAAACAAAGAGGTAGTTTCGGTTGAATAGTGAAAGGCTTGGACTGTTCGAGCAAAGATTTGTTTGGCAAAAAAGAAAGGGAAAAGAGAAGAGAAAGAAAAAAAGATAAGAAAGAAAAGAAAAAAGGTGGCGATTGAGCAAGGCTCATATTCAATTGGGAGAGAAGAAAGAGAGAAGTGAAAATAAAAAAGTAAAAAGAATGAAATAGAGGATGAAAGAAAAGAAGAAAAAGAAAATGGAGAAAAAATAAAGGATAGAGAGAAAGAAAAGAGAGGAAAATCTTACAGAGAAGTTTTAATTTTTCTTCTTCCTAAATTTGCCCTTTAATTTTTTTATGACATTGATAACCTTTTGATAAATTTGGTTGGGGGTTAATTTTTACATATAAATGTAGATTCCCTATTAAAAAAAAAAAACTTCAATTAATGTACTGGAAAGGTTAAAAACAAAACATTAATTATTTAATGGAGAATGTAAAATAATGTTTACAAACATTTATTAAGGAAATAGTAATTTATAGTTCATTAATTTTTATTTAATATATAGTATTATTAAATTTTAATAAAAAATCTAATATTATATAATAATATACATAAAAAAGTTTGTCATATGGGTCTCTATGTGGACAACTCTATAAAATGACACATAAGATAGTTTTTTTCAAAAAATAAGATAATTTCTTTTAATTACAAATTAAATAATTTTAAATTTATTCAAGTATCAACGTTATTCCAATTATAATTGAAAGTCAAATCAATTTAGAGATATATTTTTTAAAAGTAAAAATATGAAATACATATTTTATATTTTTAATAAATAATTTTAGTTGTTTACCAATTAGCTTTATTTAAAAAATTATTTAATTATCAAAATCTTTCAAACATGTTTAAAAATTACAAAGATTAAGTTTATCCAAATCTTCCAACAATCTTTTTTATCTTAATTTAAAAAATTATCTTTTTAAAAAATTTACGTAAAACATTAAAAATTTAAGTAACTTTATGTAAGATTTTGAAAATTCAAAAATTTTTCATTTTAAATTTTTAAATAATAAGATCATCAAAATGATTATATCTATTTGAACTCTAATTATTAAATTTATATTTCAAATAAATGCAAAAAAATTAATAGTATCTTTATCACTTATTATATCCATTTTAAATTTTAAAAGATTAATTTAAAAATGATCTATTTAATTCTAATTGCCACTAAAGAATTATTCTACAAATTTAAAACTATAAATGTAATATATTATACGTCAATTTTTAAAAAAATTTTCAATAACTTTTTTCCAAGATATATTCTATTACTATTGCAATTTATTTATTTTTTTTGTTTATTACTTTTTTTCAAGATATATTTTATTGTTATTATAATTTCATTCTTATAAAAAAATAATATTTTTTCAATTTATTTTTTCTTTTTTCACATATTTTCACATATTTTTTCATATTTTGCATAATAATTTAGTCAAAATTACTAAAGTGAAAGTATGTTAATACTTCTTTTATTATTTAATTTATCATTCAATAATATATATTTTTATTTTTTTAAGAAAGACATAATTTATTTTTATTTGATCTAATCTTAAAGGTGTATAAATATTATTATAAACAAAAATATCCAAAGGAAAGACATAATTTCTTTTGTTTATAGAAAGTTTATTTTTTAATGATAAATTAATATATATAAATTTTATAAGTATTATAAGTTTTAATTAAATTAAATTTAAAAAAACTAATATATATTTATATTAAATAAATAAAATTATTTGTGTATCGTCCGAATTATAATCTAATTTTATTAAATAAAAAACACCCATCAACTGAAGGAAATACTTTGTTTGCTAAAGTGGCAGGCGCGCTGTCTTTTCCTGGGCAGCAACAGTGGTTTTGGTTCGCAATCACAACCAACAAGAGCATCAACGTTTGGTGGGGACTCCGCTCGAGCATAACCCCTTGTAACGAGGCATTACTTCTGGGTTGGTCCTTCGAGGGTCACCACTGACCACCTTCAGAAGACATTAAATCAAGATAGAATATAAAACTAGTTATAAACTAAATACAAAACCCAAAATAATACAACGAGAGAGTGACATAAATTCCCATATTAATATCTAAACTCAGTTATAAGGTTGCTATCGATGTCCTCCTTTTTCTCGTTGCCTGGAAACTTTCTTATTCATTATCTTTACAGGTCTATTTTTTAAGATATTATTGTTTGTTGATTTGGTCAAATAAGATGATAGTGTTTGTGATAACACAAATTCGTTCAAACCTAACTGAATGAGGTGACAATTTTGACAGATATATAAATGACATTACAATTTCATCCATTATTTTTTTCCTCACGTGTATATATATATATACATACTATAAAGATGCAGATTTTATGCCATGCACGTCGCAAAAGTTGAAGTTCTTTTGTCCTTTTTTTTTACAAAATTGAAGTTCTATTTGTTCTTAGTATAAAATTTTTATAATAATGATTGCGATAATTTTTTTTATAATATAATTTAGGGTATTTACATACTTTGCTTAAATTTATTATCTTTTTCATACTTCTTTTATAAAAATTTTACAAAAGATTTTAAAAACACACTTTCTTAATTTAATTTAAGGTATTTAAAAGTTTACTTTCAAAATATATCTTCATCGATATTAATTGACAAAAAAAATTAGCTCATACCTTAATCAATTAGATTAATTCTTATGAGTATAATAATTGCAACATCTTAACACGTATTAGTAGTGTTATAGAAATACTTAAAAAGTAAAATCAGATTATATTTTGCATGTCTAAGCTAAAACACCAATGACTAACGCTATTAGAGGTGATCAGCATAATTAAGAGGATTAAAGGGACCAAATGATTACCAAAACAAAACAAAGAATATTGAGAGCATATAGTAATAAATGATTAGTTCAATTGATTATATTTATCTTTTTTAATGAAAAATTTTTAGGTTTAAATTTTGTTGATCGATGATTATTTATTACGATCATCTCAAATACATAATTTATAATTATTTATCTTAAATTATCAAATACAATATATTTTATTTTAATATAAAAAATTAAATAATTTATTTATCTTCGAATTTCTTTTAAAAAAAATATATTGATAGCATATAGGTACATGTCCGTGGTAACCGCCAATAAGAGATGGAGATTTGAGTAAAATTCCGTGGGTGGCCAACCCATCCGGTTTGATTCTTCGACGAATGACAGCTATACAATGGTATAAAGCAATACACACCCTTTTAAGTCATTTTCTTAATATTTTATAAGACTTTATTTTGCGTGCTGAAAGGGATAAAAAAAAATTATCGCTTTTTTAAAAGTCGCTTTTCTAACTTTGAATTTTTATCTTTCAACCAAAAACTGACAAATTAATGCAACGGCCTTCAAAGTTTAACGAACCCCCTTTTTCTTTCTTAGCTCCATTCACATTTATATTGAACTAATTATCAATTTTTAAATTTTACAAATATAATTAAAAATTTTCATATATATTAAATATATTTAAAAAATAAAAAATTAATATAATAAAAATTACACATATCAATATTTAACATCATTTATGAATCGGTCTACAAAAAACAATTTTTTTAATACATTTTAATTTCTTGTTATTATGGTGAGTGTCTTAATATAAACCAATAATGGTGAAATTAAGTGAAATACTATATAAAAGAAAGCTTTTGGATAAGAATAATCATGTTTATCAATATATTTTTTATCGTCAATTACAGAATCATCATAACCACCTTTTTTTTTTTTCTAAGAAGAAAATTCAAACATTGCAAAAGTTTCAATTACATTACACTGAATTATTGTTTTGCTTTTTTATTATTTGTTGCATTTGTAATCAATTCTTGGATGAAAAATTTTCATCAAAGTTAATCAAAGTTTAATGAACTTATAATTACTATTATGCATTCACACATGTAATGCAAAGCTGCTCAAATAGAAGACTTCCTTGCTTTGCTTCTTGCCGCATCAATCATTGGTCATCTTAATTATAAAGAGAAAAATCAGGTTCTAAGATCTGCAACTTCTTTGATGCTTATTAAAAACTTCATTTCATGCGGGGCGAAAAGAGTCCAAAACGTCAAGTTCATTTTGATTTTGAAGACCGAATGTGGGCCTTGAATGACCTAGAAAAAAACACCCTGAAAAAATGGTCGACAAAGCACGTGAAAAACTGCCGACTATTCTTTATATTTACAAATTTGCAGTTTTTTTTTTTGTCGGATTGAAGTTTACATTTTGTAAATTAGTGGTAAGGGATTTCATTATCTTATTACCTTTGAGCACTTTTTCTAAGGCGAAAGTGCATTTGTGATTTCATAGAATGATTTAAGATATCATAGAATGATTTAAAATTTAAAAATAAAAATGAAACGTAAATAAAAGGTTTGAAACGGTCATACATTTTACCGCTTTCTCAATTACCTTCAAAGCGCGTAGGTTCCACTATCCTTAACCCGCCGACATCAGCGTCAGCCTTTGCCGCCATTCAAATCTATATCCACAGATAAAATGTAAGTTTTAATTAAAATGTATAAAATTACATTTTTCGATAGGAGCCTTGATTTGAGTTCACTGAAAAAAAAAAGGATTTTCCGTTGGTTTAGGAAATCAGTGAGAAAAATATCTAAGATGCTGAAAAACACAACTCGGCTGCCTAAAAATCTACTTTTCCCCTAACAAAGGGATGTTCTAAGGGAGCATGTTTTCCGACTTATCACGCGCCCTCATAGCTCGCGTCCGATATCGGCTTTTTTTTTTTTTTTTTTATAAAACTGATATGCATGACTAGCGTGGCGTGGCATAGAAAAAAAAACACTCTTTCTGTTTATTCTTATTTTCATATTAAAAAAAAAAAAAAGAGATTCAATAGCTAGAGAGAACCTCTGCTTGCCCCTTTTTCCACATTTTGCTCTGTACCTTTTCTCTTTTTTTTAATCTGCAATTATATTTTACATTTTATCTTTTTATTCTGCTTTCTATTCACAAATTCATGAAACTTAGCAACTAAGTTCTTACTCAATATTTATGTGTTTTTGTTTAAAGGCATTAAAATATAAAAATCTCTACAACTTTTGTGAAACATCTTTGAACACTTACTTTCCTCTTCCTTATTGGACTCATTTTCTTCAATTACCTTCAACATTTCTCTTCAACTTTCTGCCTCTTCAATTTGCCAGTGAGTTCTTCACTTCTTTTCTTTCTTTTTTTTCCCTTACTGTTTTAAGATTTGAAATATACTTGTATGCTTATATATGTGTACATATCTACATACACTTGTAACTGTTTTTGGTCTTTTATGCAGTGGACAGGAATTGAAGGTTTTTTTTTTTTTTTTGAAGTAGTTTAGTTTTGTTAAGATCATTTCGAGTTTAGATCACTGACTTTTTCTCTTTTTTTTTTTTTGTTCTGTTTTTCAGATTGGAAGTTTGTTGTTATGAGATTAATGTTGTGAAGGAGTGATTTGGAATTTTGGAGGGCTTTTAGAAGTTGAGTTTAGAGATCAATGGGTAGTAAGAGATCTGGTGTAGAGTGGAAGAATTTGAAGATCTTTTTGGGGTTTTTGCTGATCTCTGCAGCCAGGATTTCGTTTGGACTAACCAATCCTAGTGATGGTAAAGTTAATCTTGCAGCATTTTTTTTTCCCTTTTAGATTAATCTGTTTGGTTGCTGAAAAATGTGGGAAAGTGGAAGAAAATAAAAGATGTGGAACATGAGTTATATCACTGTCTAAAGCTGGGGAAATAGGCATAGTCTCTTTAACTAAGTCAATAGCTGAATACTGAAGAAGTTTTGATTTTATAAATTTTGCTCTCCTTATTTGTTCCTTGTATTCTCTACCAGGAATGAAGCTTTTAGCTGGGATATTTCCCTTTCAATTTTCTAGGACTTTATCTGTGGATTCGCTTTAGCATTTTTCTGACGATTTAATGTGTGTGTGTGTGTGTTTTGTTTCATTCCGACTCTTATGCTGCTTTCTAGTTATAATGTGAAACTTTGTATCTAACTGCCTGCATTGCTTTGATCAAATAGTTGCTGCGATTAATAGCTTACATACTGCATTGGGCGCTCCGTTACTTCCTGGATGGGTTGCTTCTGGCGGAGACCCATGTGCTGAAGCATGGCAAGGTGTACAATGTAACGGTTCCAGCATAATAAGAATGTGCGAGGCCACTTCTTTGATTCTTTATGTTAATAAAATTTTTGCTACGTTGTCAATGTTTAACTGATAGTTTGGTTTTTGCAGAGTTCTAAATGGTGCTAACTTGGGTGGACAACTGGGTGATAACTTAAGAATGTTTACATCTATCAAGGCAATGTAAGTCATATTTTCTCTTTCCTCCTCTTACAAACCAATTTCTGTGCCTATGCCTGTTAAATGAACAATATTGCTATATTATTGGCTTAACTTAAGTGACTTCCCTTGCACTTCAGAAAGGGTAACTCTTTATTCACTGTTATTTGTATCCTTTTACAATGTTCTTCATACTAGGCTATACTGGGAAAAGGAGCACACAATGCATTTGGTTGACACTTATTCTGCTTTTAGGTGTTTGATTGATTTCAAATGCATGGGGATTTGTCCGCTTATATTATTGGCTTGATAAAGTGACTTCTCCTGCACTTCATAAAGAGACTAACCCTTTCTTCGCTGCTTTTTGTGTCCTTTTACAATGTTCTTCATAATAGGCTGTAATGGAAAAAAGAGCACAGAATGCAGTTGTTTGGCAATTTTTATGCATTTAGGTTTTGGATTGATTTCAAATGTATGGGGATTTTAGGAAGTTAATATGTATTGACTTTTAAACTTGTTAAACACTAAATTGATTTCCCTCAAAATAATTGTATCATGCATGATACATGCAATTATTAATGCATTCAGCAATATGTTAATCAACTAAATGAGTGAATAATGTGCTCTAGTTATGCTTGGAAAATAAGGGGGAGGTGTGAGGTATCTCTTCTCCATATTACAGTAATATTGTCACATTTTCTGAAATATTAGATGGTATTATTTTTTCTGATATGTAGGATGGACATTTTGATTGACTTTTTTTAATTGGTCCTGTTTCAGAGATCTAAGCAACAACCAGATTGGGGGCAATATTCCATCCAATTTGCCTGTTACTATGCAAAACTTGTATGTTTTATCCTCACATGAATTCATATATATTTTCATCTCTTCAGCAAATTCTTAGTACTCTTTAAATTTGGCAGTTTTCTTTCAGCTAATCAGTTCACTGGAAGCATTCCAGATTCACTATCATCTTTGACTCTGTTGACAGACATGTAAGTTTTTGCTTCTCTGTTGTTTGAGATGATGCCCAGCATACTTACTTTAAAACAGAACATATTCCTAGCTTTTGTTCTTTTGTTCTGTCAGGTCACTAAACAACAATCTTTTGAGTGGAGAGATACCAGATGCCTTTCAAGCCCTTTCTGGCTTGATCAATCTGTAGGTCTCAATTTTCAATTTAATTGCTAATTTCTTGGTTCTTTTTATAGTATATTCATAGTTGGAGCAAATTGTTTCTTTATAGGGATTTGTCCAATAACAAATTGAGTGGGCAACTACCTCCATCTATGGAAAATTTGTCTCGTCTGACCACTCTGTGAGTTCTCCTGCTTTCTGAATGACAATTTTATCTGTATGGACAATAAATCTAACTGTCTCACTTGGCAGACGTTTGCAGGTCAATCAGCTGTCTGGGACACTAGATGTTTTACAAGATCTTCCCTTAAGAGATTTGTACTCTTCTCTACTATGGCATTTGTATCTTTTAGAATGAATATGTGTTTCTATAATTCTTTTACATATCAAGAACCATATTATAATGGTTCTCAGATGTTTCTAGGAGGAATCTTACCTTTTTCATCTTGTTTTGAACAGGAACATAGAAAATAACCTTTTCTCTGGACCCATACCTGAGAAGATGCTGAGTATCCCAAGCTTCAGGTGAGCACTGTGCAATTATTACATTTGAAGAGGTTAATCCTTCATTCCCCAATTTTAAGCAAGCACACATCAGTAAAGGTCATGCTGCTAGATGCACATCCGATGATATTAAAGATGTTTCTCAGCTTCCCAAATTTAGGGAACTTATATGTTTTATCATTGAGTAATACCACAAAGGCCAATTATTTAGTAACAATTGGTTAAATCTGGATGATGGATTTATGCACCCTATGGAGCCCAATATATTATGACATGCTAACCAAACAATCTTCTTTTGAGGATGGTTCTTGGTCCACTTTTCATTTTTTTTCATAGATATAATCTAAACGTACTTGGCATATACTGTTTTTTTGTTTGATTTCGTTTTTTTCCATAGATATAATCTAAATGTAATTATTATATACTTCATTTCTTTCTGCTATGTATTTGTTTGGTTACACTGAAATTTTCTACACAGAAAAGATGGAAACCCATTTAATTCCACTGTTTCCCCATTGCCTGCCCCCACATCACCATTAGCACCTCCACATGCACCACCACATTCTGAAGCACCAAGTTCTGATCAAGTGCCAACATCTGATCAAACACCCGGGAAACATGCTGATGGGCCTTCTGCGTCAGAGGGAGCTAATTCTGGAGAGAAGAAATTCTTAACTACTAAAAGGGTGGTGTGGATATCAATTGCAGGTGTTTTGTTTTTTATAATATTGGCGTTAGCACTTGTTCTTTTTATGCCAAAGTGGAGCAGAGGAAGGGAAGAGGCCAGCAGAATTTTCAAAAGGCATCAAGTAGGTGAATCTAGAGGCAACAGAGAGAACCTTGCTGAGAATGGGCTCTTACCCACCACAACCAGTCAAACAGAGAAAGGCAAATGACTATGCTTTTACTCCAATTCAATTTATATATAGATTCTTTGCTATTATTGTTAAGTTTTAATTGTTCAAGCAATAATGATTTTTGAATATTTTGTGAACAGGCCCAAAAGAGGCAGTTACAAGACCAGAGGGAGGTAATCAAGCAGTGAGGGGAAGAATGGGGGCAATTGCAAAGCCGCAGAATGAAAAAGAGAGAAATGTGGAAAGGATGGGTACAACGCCAAGGCGATTTGACCATGAGCTAGACATGAGTAGCTTCAATATGATGTTGATGGAGCCCCCACTACTTCCACCTCCACCTCCTCCTCCTCCTCCTCCTCCTCCACCGCTTTCTGAGAAGGTCATTGTGAAACCATTGGTGCCTGATGAAGTAACTACTGCAAGGCCTTCTGTAAAACCTCGAAAGCCATCTACATTTGCAAAGTCTTTCACCATTGCAGCCCTTCAACAATATACAAACAGCTTTTCACAAGAAAATCTTATAGGTGATGGCATGCTAGGGAGTGTCTATAGGGCAGAACTTCCGGATGGGAAGGTATAATTGTTTATTTTAGATTTTGTTATAATCAGGGTCGTTCTTTTGCTTTAATAATTTTTTCGAAGTTAATGCTTCGTAGGCTTGCAAGTGGGGAAAAAAATAATGCTAGATCTAACTGAACTATTGAGTTAACCTGAGCTGGTAAATTCAAATCTTAGTGGTAAAAAATAACCTATGTTGGTCAGTTTTAGAATTTATAATGCCATCTTCCCCTTTGTCCTTCTTTTTCTTTACTCATTTTCCACTTATTTGCGTATGTACACAAAGTTGAACTCGCGTATGGTGCCGTTGCATATTATGTAGACATTGTAGACAGTTTATATGTATGAAGCAGCTGCATGGTCTGATTCATAATCGTGCTGGATGCATTTTGTAGCTACTTGCAGTCAAGAAACTGGACAAGAGAGTTGCCAGCCAACAGAAGGATGATGAATTTATTGAGCTGGTAGAAAATATTGATCATATCCAGCATGTGAATATTGTTAGGCTGGTGGGTTACTGTGCAGAGCATGGTCAAAAGCTTTTGATCTATGAGTATTGCAGTAATGGATCACTGCAGGATGCGCTGCAGTCAGATGATGAATTTAGAAAGAAGCTTTCATGGAATGCCCGAGTTCGAATGGTGCTTGGAGCTGCTAAAGCCTTAGAGTAAGTCAAGTTACCATTGAGATGAGATGTCTGTATCTTTCATTGCTCCTTCTCTACCCTAGTAGGTTCAGCTTTAGATATTCAATTGGTTGGGCTGCTGTGGTTGGAATCTTTATTTAAGTGGAATGGGTGTCATCAGTTACATTGTGCAAACGGCTTGAGCATGATGTTATTAACAAGGAGTTATATTATGAAATTGAATCTGGTTAGAGCCTCACTGCTTTAGTTTGTAAAGACTAAATTGTAAAAACAATAAATCTAAGTTACTAGAGGGAGTACAATGAAGATAATTATGAACATGTCAAAAGAAAGAAATGGCTAACTGCAGGTGGGAGATTTTATTATGAACCTTTTGTCTTTTTTGCCAATGACCTTTCTGTTCCTAGTAGCGTTATGCTGGACAGTGAAAAGAATTAAGAGTGAAATTATTCTAATAGTCTAGTAATTTATATACTTAATAGTGCCATGTAATAATAAGATACTTGGACAGTTGTTAGATGTGCAGATTGACATAATTGCAGAATGTAAAGAGTAAACTAAATAGATAAATTCATGTTTTCTTCCCCCTTAACATACACACACACACACACTCTTTCCTGTTTTTTGGGGGCTGGGGGTGGGGGTGGGGATTTGTTAATTTTCTTTGGTCCTTTCCTTAAGTTTTATTGTTGAAGTGCACACCACTTCAGTCCTGATTTTTTTGCTTTATGTGAGAAGGTATCTGCATGAGGCCTGCCAGCCACCTGTTGTACACAGAAATTTCAAGTCTGCCAATGTTCTCCTTGATGATGATCTTGATGTGCGCATCTCTGATTGTGGTTTGGCTCGATTAATAGCATCAGGTTCTGTAAGTCAGGTAGGTTTAAGCTTGTCATCACCTTATTTTTTGCCTCTTAGAACATGGGATGGTGGTAAACCTGGGAACTTTTACTGGGTTAAACACAAATTTTATATTTTTATTAAGACTGGGTTGTTTGCATTTGGAGAAGTGGCTGGTGTGCGATTTATAAATCAAAAGAAATTCCTCAAAAATGAAAAAAGTTAAACAAAATAACAACATTTTTCTGGGAAACATTAGTTTTGAAGAAAATAATTGACATAAGTTGGAATATTAGCAGCCATAATGGTGAGATGTTTGGTATTAAGATCTTGAGATAACCATATATTTTTACGTTTTTCTTCTTTATTTTCTCATTTGACTATTTATCTAGCCTTGTTACTTTTAGTATAAAGAAAAATTTTGGAGGTTTCAGTTGTCCAATGACTGCATGATACTAACAGTAAGGACAGGTATTTTGGCCTTTGTTTTGGTATGATAAATTATTCAGTGAAGTCCCAGATAATTCTATATCTGGGAGAGGAAACTGACCTGTTCTCATGCCTAGTAATATAAACATAAATAGGAGTGCCTCACCATTCCTCTAATTACTTGTCTACCTAAAGCTGGTTCAAGTAGCTGCAACAGCAATCTCCCCCAAACTAATCTTTTCGGAAATTTATAGATATGATGATTGTGGAAAAACTAAGAAATAAAACTGTATGTAAAACTAATAGTAAAGCTGAATTTATATTGAAAAACTCCTCATAAAAAATTAAACAAGCATCTTAAGTTTATATACAAGTAACTAGTGGGTAAACGAAAAAACTAAATCTTCCTAAAACTGATCCTATAATTGAGGGATTGTCTATTTTAATTTTTTTTTTCCTTAATTCTAGGGATACAAATGCTTAATTCTAGAGATAAAAATATAAATATACAGATTACAAGATTATAACTAGCTGTAAATTATGTTTTCTCACACTCCCCCTCAAGCTAGTGAATAGGTGTTTTCCATTCCCAACTTGGAAATAATTTCTTAAAATGTTGCACTGCTGAGACCTTTAGGCAACACATCTGCAAGTTGGCCTTTGGTTGATACATACGGTGTACAAATCAAACCACTATCTAATTTCTCCTTTATAAAATGCCAGTCTACTTCAATGTGTTTTGTTCTATCATGTTGCAAAGGATTTTGTGCAATGCTTATTGCAGACTTGTTATCACAGTAGTCTCATTAGTCCATCCCACTTGATCTTCAAGTCTTCTAAGATATCTTTAACCATAGTAGTTCACAAATTCCTTGAGCCATCGCTTTGAATTTTGCTTTAACACTTGATCTTGCCACCACATTTGGTTTTTTACTCCTCCAAGTCACAAGATTACCACCTAGGAAAGTGCAATAACCTGAGGTAGATCTTCTATCAGTTACTGAACCTGCATAATTCGCATCTGTATATGTTTTTAGAACCAGCCACGAATTTCTTTTGAATAAGATACCTCTCCCAAGATTGGCCTTCAAATAGTGCAATACGTGGTAAACAACTTGTAGGTGCACTTCTTTAGGACTATGCATAAATTGAGTTATCACATTCACAGCATATGCTATATCAGGTTTAGTATGTGAGAGATAAGTGAGTCTTACAACTAATCTTTATATATCTCTCTATCTACAGCAGCATCTTCATTAGCTTCTCCAAGTTTATGACTAGGATCTATAAGGGTATTTGTAGGTTTACATGTAAGCTTCTCAGTTTCCTTCAAAAGATCCATCACATATTTCTGTTGTGAGATGAAAATACCATGCCATGAGTGAGCTACTTCAATTCCTAGGAAATACTTCAATCTCTCTAGCTCTTTTATTGCAAATTCTCTAGCCAAACATTGTTTTAGAGATTCTCTCTCTTTGTCATCATCTCCGATTACAATATATGATCAACATACACTAATAAAACTGTGACTCTCCCTGAATCAGAGTGTTTGATAAATAATGTGTGATCCCCTTTACTTTACTTATATCCCATTACTAACATCATTTTGGCAAATCTCCCGAACCAAGCCCTAGGAGATTGTTTAAGGCAATATAAAACCTTTTTCAGCTTGCATACTTTGTTTGCTTCTAGATGACTTCCAAATCTCGGTGGAACCTTCATATATATTTTTTCTATAAAATCACTATGTAGAAAATCATTCTTTACATCAAATTGTTGAAGCTACCAATTTTAATTTGCGGCCACTGATAACAAAATTCTAACTATATTTATCTCGGCAATTGGAACAAAAGTTTCCTAATAATCTACTCCATAAGTTTAAGTGTAGCCCTTAGCCACCCCTGGCTTTATACCTTTCAACAAGACCATTTGCCTTGTATTTAACAGTGAAAACCCATTTACATTCAGTTGGATTTTTTCTTTTAGGCAACTCTACCAATTCCCATGTCTTATATTTTTCTAAGGCCTCCATTTCTATTTTCATGGCTTGCCTCCATTTCTCACTGGATAATGTCTCAGATAATGTAGTTGGAATAGAAATAGTGTTTAGGCTCATAAAGAAATTTTTATGGGATGGTAAGAATTTTTCAAATGACATAAAATTAGAGATTGGGTATAGTGGATGCTTAGTATATTCTTTGGTTCCTTTTCTAATGGCAATAGACAGATCATAACCACTACTTATAGTTTTAGGAGATTCATGCTCATTTTGAGAAACAGAGTCAAAGACTGTAGTTACCTCACTTCCAGAGTTAGGATCAAGTTTTTGGGCTTACACTGGTTTAGGATCTGAAACTTTTCTTTTTGAGTACACCTATAATTCCTTTATAGAATCAAGAACAATATTATCCTTTGTCACATCTTTTGTGTTTGGAATGGATTCAGACTCAAATTCAATGTTTGACTTGGACTCAGAATAAACAGGTTTAGACTTAGAAGAATTAATGGGTAAAAATGTTGAAGAGGAGAACAAATCAAGCAAAAAGAAGTCTTTATCCTTATCTTTCATGAATGAAGTCTCCCCCCGAAGATAAGGTTAAGTAAAAAATGGTTTACTTTCTTCAAAAGTGACATCTGCAAGCACATAGAATTTTTTTATAAGGGCATGAAAGCACTTATACCTTTTCTGAGTTGATGAATACCCCACAAAAATGCACTTAATTGCTTTAGGATCCAACTTCCCCATATTATGATTGTGCACGTGAACAAATGATGTACAACAAAATATCTTAGGTGTAAGGTTGTTTGTGGTTTTAAAGTTGGAATAGAATTGTGAAAGTAGTTCCATAGGAGTTTTAAATTCCGAAACCCTTGAAAATAAACTATTTATAATATGTGTGGCAGTGAGAACATCTTGCCCTTAGTAGGATTTTGGTACGTTTGAATGAAAAAGTAAAACTCAGGTTGTGGCTAGTAAATGGTTGTTTTTCTTCTTTGCCATTCCATTATGTTGTGGAGTATTAACACAAGATGAGTCATGGATAATCCCCTCCTTTTGGAAATAGGTAGATAAATTCTGATAAATTCTAGTTGAATTAGTCTTTGGCATTATCAAACTTAAATCTCTTGATTTTCACTCCAAATTGATTTTGGATCATGTTTTGGAAGCTTAAAAATAAATTATTCACATCTGATTTGGATTCAAGTAAAAATATCTAAGAGACCCTGGTACAATCATCTATGAAAGAAACAAACTACCTTACACTAGAAATATTAGGAATTGTAAAGGGACCCCATATGTCACTATGAATCAAGTAAAAAGGAGTAGAACTTCTTTTATCACTAATAAGAAAAGACACGTGTATGCTTTGCAAGTTCGCAAACAATCACAGTGAAAATTTTCGGCATTTAATCCTCTGAACAAAGAAGGAAATATGTTTTTCAAAGTTCCAAAAGAAGGATGTCTAAGACCAAAATGATAAAGCCAGATTTTGTCTTTATTGGGAGATTTTTCAGAAAGAAATGACAAAGATAAACTAGTCTTGATATTACTTGTGTTGTTTGATGTATCAATAGTATAGTCCATCATTCTCCTTAGTAAGTCCAATCCCTTTCTTTGAACTTTGGTCTTGAAATTCACAATAAGAGGGATAAAAAGTCACTTTGCAACTTATGTCTTTGGTAAGTTTTTGTCTAAATATCAGATTAGTAGACAATCTAGGAACATGAAGAATATTTTTAAGAACAAACAAGCGATTAATTTGAACATCTCCTAATCCTATCATCGTAGTAAGTGAACCATCTGCAACAACAATTTTCTTATTACTAGGACAATAGGTATATGTACTAAGCTTCTGTAAGGAATGCGTCATATGATCTGTGGCTTCTGAGTCAATGACCTAAGAACTCGTAATAGGCTTAACCGAGAGATTTAATCCATGAGAATCAAAAGCTTTACCTAAACTAGAGACCTTACCCAAAGAACATACCCCGGTAGGCTTTTCAAGAGCTTTCAATAGGCTTCTTAGTTTCTCAATCTCTTCTCTATCCAACTTTCTTTGTTATCGAGACTTCTGTAGTACTTTGATTGTTTTACCAGTTATCATTTCCTCAAATCGGGTAGTAATGGCAGAGTCTGCAATCTCTGGCATGGTTATCTTTCTCAGGATTGAAACAAGTCTTGATAGTAAAAGTTTAACTAAAGAGGATTCTAGGCAATGAAGGCCAAAGAAAGAAAAATAATAAGACTAAGAGATTTAATAAGATTTGGCCATGAAGGCTTGAAATAGAATTTAGTAATGAAGGTTGAAAAAATTTTCTTTTTGGGAAGAGCCCAAAACTCTGATACCATGTGGAAAAACTAAGAAATAAAATTGTGTAAAACTAAGAGTAAAACTGAATGTATATTGAAAAACTGCTCATAAAGAATTATACAAGCACCTTAGGTTTATATACAACTAACTAGTGGGTAAATTAGGGAACTAAATCTTCTTAAAACTGATCGTATAATTGAGGGATTGTCTATCCTAAGTTTTTTGTCATTAATTTTAGGGATACAAATACTTAGTTCTAGAGATACAAATATAAATATATAGATGACAAGATTACAACCAGCTGTATATAAGTGTTTTCCCACATTGATTGTATCCTGTAACCTTTTTTGTTGATGTGTTTGCAGCCAAGAACTGAATCATGTTCTTGCTGGTAATATATGTGCCTCTGAAATCAATAGGTCGCCTTTATTTATTAAAAAGATTGAGCCAGACAAACAAGCTTTATGTCATATGTTTAATAATAGTGTTAGCATTATTGCTAGTACAGTAATAAGCAGCTTCACTTGAGGGCATAATTACGTTTTTTTTTTTTTTGCAGAAATGGTAGTAGTGTTGACTAAGAAAAGTTTGTGATCAGTCATGTAGGGAAAATGTTGGAGACATTTTTTTTTTTTGCTTGACGTTAGGAAAATAATGAAACTAAATGCTTATCGTTGAATTTCGTACCCTGCCATCATAATATCATTTGGTTGGGGGCAGCCATATAAATCTTTCTTGGGCATTCAGCTAGCAATTCTGAAACTATTCTACTTTCAGTTGTCAGGACAACTAGAATCAATTTATGGCTATGGAGCTCCAGGATCTGAGTCTGGAATTTACACTTCCCAGAGTGATGTTTATAGCTTTGGAGTATTTATGTTGGAACTGTTAACTGGCAGGGAATCTTATGACAGGTAAACGGGTGAAACCTTGTTGCAGTTTATCATTGTGTGTCCACTTCCTTAATCTGATCCAATTATATTTTTGTTAAAATGTTATTTAGGACAAGGAGTAGAGGCGAGCAATTTCTAGTGAGATGGGCAATCCCTCAGCTTCATGATATTGAAGCATTATCTAGGATGGTTGATCCTTCTCTCAATGGAGAATATCCTGCTAAGTCATTATCACGCTTTGTCGATATTATTTCTCGATGTGTTCAGGTGAGAATAGCATGGTTAGTTTTTTTATTTGCTATATATGTGCACGCACACACATATAACTATTTTCTTTTTATAAACATTCTGTCTAGGATGTAAAATTGGTATCAGTACTTAATATATGCAGACAGCATGGTAGGTTACAATAGGATTCTGAAACGCTTCAGCAAATTAGATTGGAATGTGTTATTGTTGAATATGACTATGATGGAATTAATATAGATTATAGTGGGGATGAGAGTTGGAATTTGTTTATCTTTCTGTATTTGTCTAATTTAACCCTCACTTTCTTTTTTGGATAGTTAAAGATTTTATATATTCAAAAGAAAGAGGGAATATCCTATAACAATGATACAAAGCTAACAGAGTTTAGCAAGAAATAGCAGCAGAGAAAAGAAACATCAAAATAAACTTTTACCAAAGAACTTAGTTCCCCTGTAGCTGCAAAGAGGAGTTAGAGATAGTCTTTGAGAACTTGCTGTGGCTGCTAATTTTCAGTCAAACAACTTCAGTGATTTGAGAAACCAGAGAGGCAGCAGATAAAGGAGAAACACAATGCTTTCTATTGTTTCGTTCTCTCCAGATACAATGAGTAAAAAGCAAACAGCGGCTTGAAGACTTGGATTCTAAAGGAATTGCCTTCCAAACTAAGAGCCCACTGATAACCTACATTTTCTATGCCCATTGAATGAAACTTCAATCTCTCAACACATTCAAAGGATGGTAATTGTATAAAAAGTTGTGAGAATGAATTTGTAGTTCTTAGATATCATTAGACACTTTTTTGGGTAGGACATCCTCTGCCTAAGCATCCATCTGTCCAAAAGATTCAGCCAACATCAAGCATCTTGGACATATTCTATGACATATGTTTCTCACTTCCCTATGAAATGTGTGGTTCTTGATAAATAGTGAGCCTGAAAGGTTTGAAGGGCAAACCAAACTTGGTCTGTTTCTACGTGGAATTGACTTGGTTGACAATTTGTATTACTTTAAATAATTTTAATTTACATTCATGATCTTGAATTGCAGGAAAGTTTAATAAAGGGTGTCACTTAATTTATGTGCTTTGTGCATGTTATATTTCATATGAATAGTGTAACCATGAATGATTTATTAAAAAGAGGGCATTCATAATTAGGGATTTCACTCTCTATACCTCTCCCATTGTGAAAGTACAATTGCTTGTCTAACCTCAACTCTGTTTTTCCAGTCTGAACCAGAATTCCGGCCACCAATGTCCGAAGTTGTTCAAGATCTATTGGATATTGTGCGAAGAGAGCGTCCCAGTAATGAATCCAATGGAGACTGACTTGAGAGGCAGTAAGCAATAAACCTGGTGATATCAGTTTAAGAATGGAAGTCACAGAGATTTGATCAGTTAGGTGTTGATTTGAGAAAATACATTAATTGTAAAGAGGCAGCAGACAAAAGCTTATCCTAACAAACCCAAGTTGCATCCCAAGCTCGTACGTAAGAGGAGTTTTGAAGGTCATCGTCCAAGGAACCTTATTGCTGTGACTCTGAGCTGTCTGAATTTTCAGGTCTGATTCTTTGTAATCATTCTGTTGTTCATTAAATCACGTAACAATGTCTTTGCTATGGCATAAATATGCTAATCATTTGTTTCATAACATTATTATTTGTTACCAATTATTCATATGATTCTGTTCCCACAACGTGATGGATAGGTCCACTTTCTTTTGTTTGTGTTTTTTCTTTTACCTGAATAGATCAGTCCATTGATACGTACAACATTTTAACATTTTCTTGGTGTGTTTTATTTTTGTTATTTTGGACAGATGGTGTGTGTTTTATTTGAAAAATAGATATCGTACATAATTTTCTAAACACCATTTTGTATCTATACGACATGTCCTGAGTGTGCACAGGCAAATTTACAAGTAAGGTTGCCGAACTGCAGAAACATTATCTTATGAGAGATGCTTTCTTTTTTTCTGCTTGTTTGTAGAGGTGCTCGGTCCGTCAATTCGGTCCTGAAAAAATCAAAAGCAAAATTAATCAATCCTCTTGAAAAAAAAAAATATATATATATATATATATTCTTAATAATAAAAAAATAACCAAATCAAAATAGATTGGTAGGTTTAGTAGAAAAATCAAATTTTGATTAAAAGCTAAAAATTTAAATTTTGAACAATAATTTTGCAGTAATTTTCATTAAATACAACTTATTGTAAAATTTTGCCACTAATATTATATTTGTCATTATTAAAAACAAATAAAATATTATTTATATTTTTATGTTATATATTATATTTTAAAAATTATTAAAATTTTGATTAATTAGATTTGTTCTGTTGTTAATTTTAAATACCAAAAACCGATTAAATTGTTTTTAATTATTATTATCAAAATTGACTGAAATAAATTGATTTAACTTGATTCAATTGATTTTGATTGATCAAATTAATTAGAATCGAATCTACCCATCCTTGTTCAAACTGATATCGAGCAAATTGATATCGAGGAGGCTGATCTATGCTGGCTTTAAAATTTGCTTGGAGTTTGGATATTACCTGAATTTTACACTTTAAGACTAATTACTTGAATGGCTTTTATAACTTTGTTTTTTTTTTTTCCTTAAAATTATATAATTGACCACTTCTTACCTTGCAACCTAAGATTTCAGTCGTAATCAAAGTTACCAAGGGTGGCATGTCAGCTAAATCCAGTTAGGAATCGTACACGGACAACTTGCGACAATGGACACCATTTTTGCAGTCGTTGTCAAATAGTAGTATGCTAGTATTTGATTGTGAGATGCAATACTTTCGGCGGAATATCGTCTCCCAAGTCTTAAATCTCTTTTGAAAAAAAAAAATGAATATGCATGATTTAATTTTAGTGATAAAAATTAATTTTTAATAATTCTTTCGATAATAAGAAATCAATCTTTGATAAAAACATCTCTTTTGAAATTTAAACATTATATTGCTATTTTGTCTCTTGAAATTTAAATATTAAATTATTATTTTGTTTAAAAATTCTGTTGTAATTAATTAATATAAAATTTAAGACCAAAAATAATTAATTACTAGTTATATTAGTATTATTTATCTAAAAATATATTGTTAATTAATGAATATAATATTCAAGAGAAAAAGAAAACGCTGAATAGGCCCAAAATTTGACTAGTCAATAAACTAACAGGAGTTCAAGCAAGCCCACCACTAAATCTTATTTAGACCCCAGCCGCGGCCCGCGAAACTCTCTCGGTCTGGTTTTTCCTTCCATTTTCTCTAGAAACAAACACCGTTCATACCAGAAGTAACTACATCCACCCGTTCGTATAATCAAGCGCCTCCGCCCCTCCCCTCCCTCATTTTTCCTGCTTCTTCTCTCCACATTTTCTCGAAATAGATATATACTTTTCTTTCCTTTTTTTTTAACACTAAATTTTCCACCAAATCTTTCTCTCTCTCTCTCCCAGTTTCTCAAATTCAGATCTATTTCGCATTGTTTTAGTTTTAGGATTTTCATATTTGTGATTCGATGAGTCGCTACGATTCTAACCCTTTCGACGAGGAAGAGGTCAATCCTTTCTCGGTAAGTTCATTACGCTCGCATTTACGTCTCCGTATCCGACTTCCCATAAATGTCAATGCCTCCTATTGTGGATTTGCATATTTTTCTGTTTCCTTTTTGCTAGATTCGATCGGTAGGTTTTGTTGACTTGGATGACTGGTTGGTTAAATTGTTAGATCTGTTTCGTTTCCGCTGTCAATTGGAATTCTTTATGTTAGAATTAATTCATTTTGATAATATATTACTTGTTTTCTATAATATAGCTCTAGTAACTTCGTTCATTTGATTTCTTTTTCTCTTCATTGCGCGAAAAGAAAAGCAACGAATTGAAAGAAACTGAATGTTAGACTTTTCTTATCCCACAAAAAAAAAAAAAGAGAAAAAAAAGAATGTTAGACTCTAATAATGCCATTTTCTGAGACGTACTTTTTAAACATAGACTAATTTACAATAAATATTCATTGGTGAATACTGTATACTTGTTTCCCTTAAACTAGACAAATGGAACTTTGTCATGGTATATCATTAAAAATTACAAGTAGTGATTTAATTTATGCAAGATGAATTGTTGTTGAAGTCCTTAATTATTGATGTTGCTTATAAACGACTTGTATATTTCCATTTTATTTGTTGCAGGACCCGGCAGTTAGTAAAGGATCAGGGCATTCAAATTATGGTGGAGGTGCCTTTTATACTACAGTAAGTACTTTTTTCCTACACTTGTCTGCTTACTTCTACCTGCATAATGTTTGATACTGGGATTTCAATTGTCTAGATCTGCGAAAGAAAAAAAAATGGTGGCAGATAGAGAGGTTAATGTACTGAACTTTTATGTATGCGTCTATTAATGCATAAGTTGGTTGCAATGACTAGTGAAAGTCTATCATTGATTTTCTCATGATGGTCATGGTTTGACTTGATTCTAATGATTGCTAGTGGCACTAGAATTTAAGCAGTTATAATTGCTGCAATGATGAGAGTGATTGGTATTACATTGAAGATGCTAGCAACAATTTTTGCTAATGAACATGATCATGGAAATGCCTTGATTTTTACATGGCCTTTATGGCAGTTGCTACTGCTAATAATGGTAGTGGTTGAATGACTTCATAATACTTCCTAGCCACTGCATTTTATCTTGCTGGATTTCAATATATTCCTTCCTTTCCCTGTTTTTCAGTAGCTCATTTACCTATAATGGAAATCAGATAGAACCAAGAAAAGGTGCTACATGAAAGACCAAATTACCCTGAGCAAGAATGCACATAATGTCATCAAGGAGAGAAACTATGGAGGGATAAGCTTGCTTTCTCCCTGAGACAGGAGATGTGGCTTGAAAGTCATGTATATCATGATATTTAGGAAGATAGCCTGTCAATCTTGATTGTAGGTGCAGTTTTGTGTGTTATTCTCTATCCCGAATTTGTTTGGACTCATTTTACCATTAGCTTATACCTTGCTTGCTCTGTGAAACTTTTATGCTAGAATGATCGTTGACAATGTAATTGTTTCTCATGTGACTGGTTTACTTTCTTGTGTTTCATATGCTGTTATGGTTATGTGTTGTGCTTGTGTAGCATGATTAATGATCCTGTGCCAGTACTTATGATCTTGCTTGTGTTTCTTTTAATTATAAATGTACAAATTTTAGAATCCTGGTAGTGTTCTTCCTGCAACATCAAGGCTTTCACCCCTTCCTCCTGAACCATATGACCGTGGTGCAACAATAGATATTCCTCTTGATTCTGCCAAGGTATCCTAGAACTTTCCAGATGTTTAATGCCTACTATCATGTTTCTGAATATTCTGTTTAAGCAAAAGTATTCTTTTGATATTTTTCATCTAATCAACTGTAGGCTTTAAAAGCAAAGGAAAAGGAACTTCAAGCGAAAGAGGCTGAACTGAAAAAGCGAGAACAGGTAAATTCTTGTTGTTGGTTTGCATTTGAGCAAGGCTTGCTGATGAATTATAAATCTGGTGCTTCCGAATAATTATTTGAGGTATTTGGTATCAATGCTGATATGTTACTACTTTCATATTGTAGTTTTGGTTATACACAGAAGTACTTTAATTATTCCTAAGTTGGCACAAAAAATCAAACCAAAATTTTGACTCTCAATTTCTTATATTTTAGTTTAATTTATTTCTTTCTGTCTGAATGCTGGTAAATTATTTTATGTTTTGACTTCCGAATTGTTTTCTTTTTAATTATGAAAATTCTAAATTCTGCAATGACTTGATTCTTAAATGTAAATTTGGATGTCATATGCAACTAGTGTTGTCTGTAGGGTGGTTTTGCAATTCCTTTTGCTTTTAGAATAAATTGTCCTCATAGTAACTGACTTTTCTCCTTATATTATGCAGGAATTGAAAAGGAAGGAGGATGCAATAGCACGATGTAGGTTCTTTTTCATTACTGATGACTTGATGAGCTTGTGCATTATCAATTTGATTTTGACATATGTTCTTGCCTTCGTCTTGGCAGCTGGAATAGTAATAGAGGAGAAAAATTGGCCACCATATTTTCCTATTATTCATCATGACATTGGAAATGAAATACCAATCCACCTACAAAAGCTGCAGTATGTTGCTTTCACAACATTGTTAGGTAAGTTAAAGTTCAGGTTTTTTTTTCTTTTGATAAGGTTTTAATAGTTTAAGCATGCAAGTTCTTTGGTTTTGGTTTTGGAGTATCATTTTGGTTCAGTCTGTTTTCTCTGTGTATTTATTTCTCTCTTCCTCTTTTGGACCTATAAGCCTTAGGTGAGTCTTGCAGTTAAGGGGTGGATTCTATTGGTTGTAATGTTCATTTCTGGTTCATGTCTTGAAAAATGTCTAAATTTCCAATTTGTTATGATGGTCTATGCTGACTTAATTTATCTGCACATGGGCAGGTTTGGTTCTCTGTCTCTCATGGAATATAGTAGCTGTTACCACAGCCTGGATAAAGGGAGAAGGTGGGTTTTAAAGGTTACTTAGTATAGCCCTTCATCATTAAATATTAATTGCTATTTTGGCATCTTTTATCATAGTATGAATTTATATTTTGTTCCAGGTCCAACAATTTGGTTTCTTGCCATCATATATTTCATATCTGGCGTCCCTGGAGGCTATGTGTTGTGGTATCGCCCTCTTTATCGCGCTATGAGGTACTTCTTTTGTGTTATTCCCTATTTGATTTACAACTTATTAAAACTGATCTAACCAATTATTAGTTTTGAAGATTATAGTACTTTTGTGCGATTATTTCTACTATCTTGACTTCTATGATGTGAGCAAATTGGAAATGTAGGTCCAATGGTCATAAAACATGTTTGCTGCTTCTAGATGGTAAGCGATGATATTAGGATACTCTATGCATGAACCATGTACCATCGAAATTTATTTTAAACAATGTAATTGTGAGTTGAAAAAATCTGAGAATTATTTAGAAATGCCACTTGTAGTTGTGCACGTAGATGTATTATGCATACATATATATATATATGTATAACTTTTTATCCCGATCCTTAATCGTATTTTATATAGTTATGTTCCTATTCCTTTTACAGGACTGATAGTGCATTGAAGTTTGGATGGTTTTTCTTGTTTTACTTGGTAATGCTTATTGCTTTCTCATTTTAATTATTCTATATTCAGCAAAGATATGTTGGAAAGCTCCTCATTTCTGATTCTTTCCTCTTTGCAGTTGCATATTGGCTTTTGCATCTTTGCTTCAGTTGCTCCTCCAATTATTTTCAAGGGAAAGTCCCTTGCGTAAGTTTGTTTGACCATTTTCCTTACAAGGGAATTTTGCTAGTTATATTTTTTTTCCTTTTTTTAAAAAATAAGATTATTCTTTGTTTAATCTTTTATATAGAGGGTAACAATTTTCAGAAAGAGAGGATGATTGCCTCTCCAAACATAAGATTTCAATGGGTTGGTTTGAATATTCAGCCACATTTTGTATTCTACACTTTTCTGTTTTACACGATCTGAAAGGAAGCAAGTCTATGCCTGAATATCCAACCACATTTTTACCATCTCTTTATTGTTATGCTGGAAAAGATGTTTTTATCATTCAGGCAGGAACAGCTTTAATCTTGTATGTTTGTTTGTCAATGGTAATCTATAGCTGACGTGTTAATGGTGTAACTCTTTGTGCAGAGGTATTTTGCCTGCAATAGATCTCTTGAGCAAACATGCTTTAGTGGGGGTAAGTCAAAGCCATTAGGACGCCTTAGTAAATTTCAAATACATTATTGTCATTATCAATGCTGTTTAGGATCATGATTTTATGAAGCATATAGCCTTGAGTAGAATTATACTAACATTAAAATATTTGTCTGCCATGTCATGTTTTTGGTTTACTATTCATTGCGTCTATGAGAATGCTTGACATTGTCCATGCTTTATTTTGACTGGCAGACATTCTACTTTATTGGTTTTGGATGTTTTTGCGTTGAATCACTTCTCAGTATCTGGGTTATTCAGGTTCACTCATCTCCATTACGTTTCCAGTGAAACTGCTCTGCTCCCATTTGGTTTCTTCTAAGCCTCTCTGTTTTCTCTTTTGTATTTGCAGCAAGTTTACATGTATTTCCGAGGTAGTGGCAAAGCTGCCGAGATGAAGCGTGAGGCTGCAAGGAGAACCATGATGGCAGCACTATGAGACAAGGCTGTAGCAGAAGATGGTATTCGCAAGTGAACATGGATTTGTCCAACAAGTTGCCATTACTTCAGTCACTTGTTCTTCTCATACCATTGGTGGCTCTCTTGCCTATTCATTTTATTGATTTGTTCTTTAAAAATATTTGTGGAATGAAGGATCTTGACAAATCAGATAGTCGGGTACAATGACGATCAAAGTTTGTGGTTAGATACGCAGTTTATTTTACCAGGCTAACCTTTAACATTAGTTTTGCGCATATTTCAGTGCTTTTACACATAGAATGATTCATATGCTAAATCTCTGCTTCCCAAGATGATGGGTGAAGAAATGCAGATGCAGTGATCTGTTGCTTTGCACGCAGAGACGGATTTTCTTTGACTCATGACACATTTGTATGGGATCTATAGGATTTAATGTCTATTAAACAAATCAAAAAGAGTTCTCGAATGGCTTCCAATTAAAATTGATTGAAATGTCCTTCCTATCGTCATACAAATGAAAAAAAAAAAAATTAAGGTTTTAATTGGACTCATAGACCAATATGATGTATTGACCAAACTCAACCATAGTTTATAATTTAGTCTTCCTGTAACAAAGTATTGATGAGACGTTTAATTGGTAAATTTTGAGATTTTTTCAAGATTTTAATTTTTTTTATGTAATTATCATGTTTTGGTTTATAGAATATAATTTTTAAGGTTTTGAAAATTACTAACAGTGTGAAGAAAGGGAAAAATAGTTCATAATCGAAAATTCTATTTTCTCTGATTATTTTTTAGATTTTTGATGAAATGTAAAATTTGTTATACTTTTACTTTCGATAATTAGTATTTAGTATCTATTTTTTTAATATTATAAATTTTACATCATAAATCAAACTCAATATGACATGCCAGAGATATTGAAGTCTCGAAATTTGACATCTGACATCACATATAGAAAAACATCATTTTATACCAAATAAAACTTAGTTTAGTTATTTTTATTTTATTTTTTAATTGAGTTTTTGTAAAATTAACTTGATTTTATTAAATAAGGATATAATAATAAAATTCATTTACGAATGCATATTATGTAAATAAAAATCTAATTATTTGAAATAAAATTAACGTTTGTAATAAAATATTTGTTTTCAATTTATATTAGATTAAAAATATTTTATACACAATGCATAAAATGTATTAACATCTTATAAAATTGATATATAATTTACACAATAATGTATTAAGTTATTTAAATTTAAAACACAACAAAATTCGACAGGATCTAAGTCATGCTTAGCATGCTCTATTGTTAAATGATCAAGATGAATCAAGCACGATGCATATACGTACATGTGCTAGATTAGAAAATTTTAAACTCATTGACTGGCACAGCAAGACTCATTAAGTTCCAATACCAACACGTGATATATGGATTAGCGTGACATAATACAAAAGCCTAAATATGTTATGTCATGTTGACCTATACTATTATAAATGAGCTTTTTGTTTTAAAATATATTTATATTATTTTATATATTTAAATAAATTATATTTATTTTTTATTAATTTATAAAAAAATATATTAATAAATTTACTTATTAAATATTTAAATTATTGAAAGATAAATTATATCTAACTAGTTTACGAACCATTTAATATATAGATTATTTTTATTTATTTAAATTTGTGTATATAAAAACAAATTAACATTTTTTTCAAATTTATATGATTAAAATATTCAAATTTATAACATATATATAAATAAGTTTTAGTTGTAAAACAAAAAGAGGGATTGGTCACCTACAAAGATAAAAGAAAAAACACAATGTTGCATTTGCCACTTCTGATGAATCACACAAATTAAACTTAGTTAGCATCCTAATGAATCTTTAAAAGTATTCCATTATCATAAGATAATTGGTGTAATTAATTACCTGAAATTTTAGTAAGATTTAAGTAATCGTTTTGTTTTTGTAAATGATGTACATTTTAATGATTTAATTAAAAAAATATACTATTCAATTATAAAATAGTTTCAAGAAATATCATTAGCTCATATGCTTTTAATTTTTTTCTTATAAAGAAAATTTAATATTTAGTTTATCAAAAAGCTTTTCTAAAATTTCACTTATTTCTAAAATATGGATCAGTTGACAATACTTGGTTATATATGTATTATTAGGTATTGGATAGATAATGTATGTGTGTATGTGTTTTTTTTTTAAATATTAGTATTGTAATTTTAATATATTTCTTTAGTAAATTTTATTATCCATCTTTGTAAACTTAGATATTTTACTTAATCACGTAAATTATGCGTCTTTTTTATTTCATTATATATTTATTATCTCCCTTATGTTATTTTTAATAATAATAAATAATTGTAAAAAAAGAAGTTTAAAAAAGTATTAATAACTATATTTGACCTAGCTAACAACCATGCCTGACATGGCACAACTACGCTATGTTAGGCCACCTTTAATTTTCATGAGCCGCCCCAACAAAACATGTTAAAAAAAAAAATTAAGTCAGACATGATCTATTATATATAAATTCATATTTAAATAAGTTATGTTGATCTAACACGATTCATTTAATATTTTTATTTAAATATTATATAAATATATAAATTAATTTAATTAAATCAATTGCAAATAAATAAATAAATATATTATAAAAATATTAAACAATTCGTTTATTTATATGTTAATAAATATATTATGAAAATATTAAATAAATCAGTTATTTGTGCTATTCATGCCTAAATACATATAGACAACAGTTCGGTCGTAAATCGTAATAACTATCATCTATATTCAAATAGACAATGATTGTGCGCAATAAATGTCATTTATATTAGATTATCTTTATGTTGTGCACAGCTCAAAATCTGTATATTTTTACAGAAACTGATTGAGAATAAATAATGTAAGGGCACAGATCATTTAAATAATAAAAATAATGAATTCAATATTGTTTTTTCGAGAATTGATTTTTTTTAGTAATTCAGATTAGGAATCAAAACACAACATTCTCAAAATATATTTAGTCTTATCAAACAAGGAAATTTAATTTAAAATACTCTTAAACAAAAAAAAAAAAAAAATCGGCTCACATTATAAAATCAGAACTAGAAAGAGCATGAAATGAATAATATCGAACCTAAGGCTAATAGGAGCTAATCTAAAACTCATTAAAGAACAGCAAACTAACATAGATTGAACTTGAAATCAAGTAAAATACATGACAAGAACTAGAACCAAATGAAAAGTGCAAACAGAAAATTAAACTTAAAAACAGAATTTTAAATCAATATTTCATAAATCTTAGGTTTAGAACTTTAATGGAAAAATGAACTAAAAATGAACTTTAAGAAAACTGTAAATGTGCGGGAAATTTAAGGAGATTGAAAGAAAATGTGAAAAAAAAATCATGTTTGGCAACTAAGAAAATAAAAGAAAACAAAAAATATAAATCTACTCTACACTGCTCATAATCCTAAGCTAAATGCAAGAAAGTAAATCTAATTTCTTTCATCCTTCCAAATGACAGCAAGAGGGGGTATTTATAGGCAATAGGGGATGTATTTAGACCAATGAGGGACCTGCATTTTGCCAAGCCAGCCTCCAAATCAACAAGGGAAAGTTTACTCAACAAGTTTCTTCCTCTTTACGCAGCATTCGATTTTCCATCTCCTTAGGGGGCTTTGAGCTGAATTTTGGTTAATTAGCCAATAGGAAGTCTTCAAAATGCCAGGTCAGCCACTCTTCTTAACTCTTGGAATGCACATTTTGTTTTCATATTTGGAAGTGCAAAACTGCTTCAAATCTGCTAACTAGAGTTGCCGCCCATTTCTCTTCAAATTGGAGTTAATTATGCATGATCCTTGTGATCCAATTTCAGCCAATGGGAGTCTAATAAAATGCCAACTCAGCACATAATTCTTTGGTCGAATTTCGTCCAATGCCCAGCTCCCATTCAGCTCACAAAACCTTATAGTAACTGCGTATCATCCTTTGATCTTGTAAACACCTTTCCTTCACTCTTTTCATTCTTCCTTTAGCTCAATTAAGTCCTTAAACATTCGATCACTTACTAACATAACTTGAGAGCTTTTCTTAACTTGTTTCAAAGCATCATAAGTTAGCTCAATTCAGCTCAACATCTTCATTGCTCGATTACTCATCAAATCAACTCTAGGTTCGGCCAACAAGCTTATTTTGCTTTCCAAATTGGTCCACATCACTTCAAATCATCCCAATTTGCTTTTTTCCCTTAAAATGGTAAAATAACCTACACATAAGAAAGTTCTCCAATTAGCGGTATATTTTCATGAATGTCTTAAGAAACGGGCAAAAATTACACTATAAACTCATATGATAGTTCTATAAAATTATGGAATTATCAGAAATCAATATATGCTCGACAACCGACAAACTTTAACTGCTTCTCTACAACCACTTGACTATCTCTTAAAATCCCTCTGTAAGCAACACCAAAACCACCTTTTACCAAGAAATTTAGTTCAGAAAATCCATCTGTAACTTCCTCTAGCGCATCATAAGAAAACCGTCTTGGGCTTTGCCGAAGATTGGTGCCTTTTGTTAATATAATGAGCTTAGGGGTGGAGGTACAGAGGATGTTCTACCTCATGCAACTGCATCCCTAATGTTTGAGCTAACCATGTAGTCTTTGCCATGGCATTGATTGACAAGTCAATCTGCATATTTCCTCAGCACTGCTATTAATTCTCTTTATCGTCTCTATTGGATCCACCTTTTTCTTCTAGAATACTACCTTACATCTCTCATTCCAAATTACCTAACAAGCCATAGCTACAACTACTGTCACTTCATTATTCTGCTCCTTTTATCTCCTGTGTTTACTTTCATGATCTTCCCAATCCTTCTATCCGAAGTAGATGTTTGACTTTTATTAATTTTATGCCCTACACTTATCTTAAACCATACCATTCCACCCAATTACGTGGTAGTAGAGCATGCTCAATCGTTTCTTTATCTTCATTTTCTGTAAGTTTGTATTAATGGCTATGTTATTTCCTCGTGCTCACCACAAAAAGATACTTATCTTTGTTGGTACTGAGAGTTTCTTGATTGATTTCCATGTAGCATCATCCACCGTATGAGATGTAGATAGATTTCTGCTTCTCAATCTTTCTTCATTCTCCTTTAGCTTGTGATAACCACCTTTGACAGAATAATCTCCATCTTCATCTTTTGGCCATACTATCCTATCCTTACAACCTTCCTTAAATGTGGGAATGACTTCTTAAGAAATTTTGTTTCTAATGTTCTCTAACTTCCATACCCCATTTCTTTTATCCATTATGTCAACTAATTTTAACTGCACCCCTTCTAGCTCTTCCTTCTCCCCACTTCTTAGACTCAGTAGAACACCATTAGGCAGCCAATTGTCTTTCCATAGGTTAATAATATCATCTCCACTCATTATTAATCATATTACATTTTCCTTTGAAAATCCATTCCTTCTATAAGACTAACCCATGCCCAAGATGCCTTAGCTCCTTCCTTCCCTTCCTTACTTTCAAAAAACTGTTATAAGGAAGATAAATTCCCTTCATAATCTGTGGCCAGTATGCATTAGGAAAATTTAGCATTCTCCACCTCTGTCTTGCCAATAGAGCTTTGTTGAACAAGGATAAATCTTTAAACCCCATTTCCCCTGGAACTTTCCTAGTTGTCAATTTCAGCCAACTAACCTAATGTATCATCTTCTCTTCCTTTGGCTGCTCCCACCAAAAGTTTTCCATAGTTCAGTTGATTTCATCACTAACCTTTTTTGGAATCTTGAAGCACTACATGGTATAGGTTGGAGTAGCACAGGCCATTGCTTTGATTAACACTTCCCTTCCTCTTGTTGACAGTAATGCTTGTTCCCATATCGACAGTTTGCCCAATATCCTGCCCTCGACAAAACTCATTGCCTCACATTTTGTCCTTCCGATGGTATGCCCAAGTATGATCCAAGATTAGATGCCACTGGTATTCTTAATACACCTACCATCTCATTTCGGACTTGTTCAGGGATATTAGCACTAAAAGTAATACTAGACTTATTTAAATCGACAAACCGACCACAGGATGCTTTGCAATATTTCTGTAGTATTGAGAACATAGCTTCACAATTTTGAGGAGTTGGCTTTAGAAAAAATAGAGAATCATCAGTAAAAAGGAGATGAGACAAGAGAGGACAATGTTTACATAATTTGACACCAACGAGACACTTAAATGTTGGGTAAAAAAACCCAAATCCAATCACACCAACAAAAATATAATTGAATAATTAATCAATCACATAAAATATAACAATTTAATATGATTCGATTCGATTGACCTATATCCATAAATGAGAAACAAGATCTACTAATTATATTATTTTATTTTGAGTCTTTAAATTTGATGTAGCTAATGTTCTTTTAATCACTCAAAACAATTCTAGTTTTGTGCCTTTGAACTTTGAAGTTATCTTTTTGCAATTGATTATTTTATTTATGTATGCCAAACTTTTATTTCATCAAAAACAGATTGCTCTTAAAATCCCATAATGTGAGGATATGTGTTTATCTTAAATGGCTATGGGATATTTAAGCCTTAGAACAATTATCGAGATTTATTGAAGTATAAATTTGTAAATTTTATCAAGTATTGAGCTTAATTAAGTGAATTTAAATAGTTTAATTTTTATTTTAAATTGAGTCAAATTTTGAATTTTAATTTTTAAATTGAGCTCAAATATTTTAATGTATCAATTCAACTTGATTTGATTACAATGTTAAGCTAGAGGGATTACACTTTGGATGTGGCTTTGAATATTGTTGGGCGGAATTTTGTTTAGGCTTTAGGCTTTGTTTTTGAATTTTGAGTTGAATTCTATTAGTTTGGATCTATTTATTTTTAAATTAAATATCAAAATCTTAAAATAAAATAATGAATAATTAAATATATAAATATATATATTTTCAAAATGTTAAAAATAAAAAAATCATTATAAAAATTAGTTGCATTTTTTTCTAAACGTTTTGAAAAAAAGTTTATAATTTAAATAAATAAAAAATAGATTTGATCAAATAATTTATAATTTTGATAAATAAAAACTATGTTGTTCATAAAATAACTCGAAAAACCAATAACAATAAAGTAATTGTAATATATTAAATATTTTTAAATTTTGATATATTTATAAAATGCCATATGTGGATTAAAATTTTTATTTTTATTATTTATATTATATATAAAAAATAATAAATGACTCCAATGTTATGAGTGCATTTGGCAAAAAAAAAAAAAATTTATGTCAATGTATTTATACTTTGCTAAAATTTGAAATTTAGTTCCTATATTATAATTAATACAAATTTAGTTTTCATATTATTTTAATTTGATAATTTTAATCCAATCATTAATTTTATCATTGTTTTATTATTAAAAATGTTGATAAGATTATTGACTTGATGACATAAGTGTTGATTTTACTGACGTGACATTGAGTTACTGATATGATAACTTAAATAGATGAAATTAATTGTTAAATTATGCAAATGACCCATGAACTCACGAAATTTAATATTTAGTTCTTACACTCACATGAAATTTGAAATTTAGCCCTCACACTTATATAAAATTGGAAATTTAGTCTTTTTAATATAAAATATATTTTTAGAAATATATTTTTTTTATTATATACAATTAATCATTAATAATAACATATTAATAATATTATTAGCATTTATATTAATCAATTATAAAATTAATAATTTAAATTAATATATCAAAGTTAATATTATTTTAATTAATTTAAATACATAATATAATAAAATTTATAATGAACTAAATTATTGAATAGAACTGCATTCGTAATAAATCCAAAATAAATCGTGAATAGAATAACCATTTTATCTAACCAAACAAAATAAGATATTCAAATTTAGATTTTTACTAGGAACTATCTTTCATCTCTTCGAAAGATAAACTTTGAATTCTAATAATATAGAAGGAGAAAATAATTTATTTAATAAATCAAAACATCAATATCATATTTCATAATGAGAATTTTCTATTTTTTTTGAGCTTTCGCAAAAAGAACTTAACTAGATAATTAAATTAAATTAAATAACAATATTAATTCTAAAACCAATACTCATTGAATTTAGTAAATTACTTTAATGTATTTAGAACTTTGAACTTAAATTTAATGATAAAAATCATTTAAATAAGGTTTAATTTAAAGGAATAATTCTAATTCAATTAATAAATTAATAAAAATAATAATTTTATTAAAATTAGATAGTGATAGATTTGTATCATGATTCATAATAAATTTTAAATAGATTCAAGTAAAAATTTTTTCATATGATCCCAATATATTACAATTATGATAAAAAAGTCCAACAAAATTAATAACAAAATTTATATTTTATGACAGAATATAACAAGATATAGTGATAGAATTAATAATAATATTTCATATGTGTGACAAAAAATTATGATGAATTTAGTGATAAAATATGAAAAGTGTGATAAATTTTTCAATATTGTGATAATTTTTAAAATTTAATATTTTTTAAAACTATAAAATTTCTAAAAAAATTAAAATATTTTTTATATTAAAGGAATTAAATTTCAAATTTTCTACAAGAACAAAGACTAAAATTTAAATTTTGTATAAGTATAAGGATTATTTACATAATTTAATAACTAATTTCATTTATCTCATTTGTCACATTAGCAAACTTAACGTCGGCATCATAAAATAAAAAATCACATTAGTATTTTTATCAATAAAAAATTGATAAATTTTATAATTAAACTAAAATTATAAAATTAAAATAATATGATAATTAAATTTGTATAAATTTCAGTATATAAATTAAATTTTAAATTTTCATAAAGTATATTGACTTCTCATATAATTTGACAAAAAAAATGAAATGAGTGCAAAATTCTAATTAAGAATTATTTATAAAAAAAAAAGGAAATTTTAAAAACCCACTTTTGGGCAGGTTAAAACCCATCCAAAGCTACCGCCAGCCGGGGCTCCCGCAAGAATTTGGTTACATTCGGCAGGCCGGATAAAGCTCGGACTTAATTTTGAAAAGAAACGAGCCCACTAAATCTGATGAGCATAGCATCTCTACTTTGTCCTGGTGTTAGCTTTGCTTTGTCAAAGAATCACATGAAACTCCAAATCCATAAAGTATTAAAAGCCGAGAAACTAAAAGAAAATGTTGAGTACATCCAAACCCTACAAAAGCACTAACCCTAAACCCTAAACTTCACAAAAAGAAAGCAAAAAACCAAAAACCCAAAACCAACAAAATGCTAAAGAGTTACAGTTCAATAGAATTGAGGTATGAAACTTTCCAGCCGCACATCTTCGTTTCACCAAGTAAGCTTCCTCACCTCCATTTTCCTTGCGTAGCTAGAGTTTTTGCGGGGTTTAATTACAATGACGGAGGATTTTCTAAAAACCAAAACTTTCTTGAGCAAGGCCTAAGTGCAAGCGTAAACTTAAATACCCAGAAGCAGAATTCAAGAGGATGTAGGGTTTCTCTAGCGTTTAAGCTACAGTGCCACTCTAAAACCGTGTTTTTGCCCGCTAGAAGTTCTTCAAGTAATGTTAAAAAGAAGAGATATGGAGGTGTTTTGTCTTCGATTCTTATGTCTTTGGAATCCGATAAGGATGTAGAAAAAACCCTTAGTACGGCTTGTGAGAATTTGAGTCCAAAAGAACAGACTGTGATACTGAAAGAACAGAGTAACTGTGATAGAGTTATTCGGGTTTTTGAGTTTTTCAAATCACTGAAAGACTATGTGCCAAATGTAATTCATTATAATATCGTGCTTCGAGCATTGGGGAGAGCTCAAAAATGGGATGAGTTAAGGCTTTGTTGGATTGACATGGCGAAAAATGGTGTCCTGCCCTCAAATAATACTTATGGAATGCTAGTTGATGTTTATGGGAAGGCTGGTCTGGTCAAAGAAGCACTTTTGTGGATTAAGCATATGAGACTCAGAGGACTTTACCCGGATGAAGTAATGATGAATACGGTTGTTAGGGTTTTGAAGGATGCTGGGGAATTTGATAGGGCAGATAGGTTTTATAAGGATTGGTGCATTGGGAGGGTGGACTTGAATGATCTTGAGTTGGATTCAATGATTGATTTTGAAAATAGGTCTGGTTCAGCTCCCATTAGTTTTAAGCATTTTCTGTCAACTGAGCTTTTCAGGACAGGTTGTAGAAGTCCTGTTTTGGAAACTTTAGGTTCACCAGATACAGAAACTTCTATGAGAAAACCACAACTAACTTCTACCTACAATAATTTGATTGATTTGTATGGAAAAGCTGGGCGCCTCATGGATGCAGCTGATGTGTTTGCTGAAATGTTAAACTCTGGTGTGGTGATGGATACCATCACCTTTAACACTATGATCTTTACTTGTGGAAGTCATGGCCGCTTGTCAGAGGCAGAATCCTTGCATGGTAAGATGGAAGAAAGGGGAATACCTCCTGACACAAAGACTTATAACATCTTTTTGTCTCTGTATGCTGGTGCAGGAAATATAGAGGCTGCCTTGGAATATTACAGGAAGATCAGGAAAGTAGGTCTTTTCCCTAATATTGTAACTCACAGAGCTGTTCTTCATATATTGTGTGAGAGGAATATGGTTCAAGAAGTGGAGACTGTGATTGAAGAAATGGACAAATTTGGTATTCACATTGATGAGCAGTCTCTTCTTGTTCTTATGAATATGTATATTTCCAAAGGGTTGCTTGACAGGGCAAGAAATCTTTTTGAGAAGTTTCTTTTGGATTGTGAGCTTTCATCCAAGACACGTGCAGCAATTATAGATGCTTATGCAGAAAGGGGGCATTGGGCTGAAGCTGAGGCTGTATTTTATGGCAAGAGAGATTGTCCAAGGCTGAAGAGAGGTGTTGTTGAGTACAATGTCATGGTCAAAGCCTATGGCAAAGTGGAACTTTATGATAAAGCTTTCTCTCTTTTCAAGAGCATGAGGCATCATGGGACTTGGCCTGATAAATGCACTTATAATTCCCTTATTCAAATGTTTTCTGGAGGTGATTTAGTGGATCAGGCAAGAGACCTCTTACGTGAAATGCGAGCAGCAGGATTAAAACCTAAGTGTCTAACCTTTTCTTCTCTTATTGCATGCTATGCCCGTCTTGGCCGGCTTTCTGATGCTGTTGATGTATTCCAAGAAATGGTCAGTGCAGGGGTGAAGCCCAATGAAGTTGTTTATGGGTCTTTAATCAATGGGTTTGCAGAAATAGGTAGTGTTGAAGAAGCTCTTCGATATTTTCGCATGATGGAAGAATCTGGAGTATCAGCAAATAAGATAGTACTAACTTCGTTGATTAAGGCTTATACCAAGGTTGGGTGTTTGGAAGGAGCAAAACGTATGTATGAAAAGATTAAGGGTCTGGAGGGTGGTCCAGATGTCATTGCATCAAATGGTATTTTAAATCTTTATGCAGATCTCGGGATGGTATCTGAAGCCAGATGTGTTTTTGACAATTTGAAAGAAAAGGGTGGTGCAAATATGTTTTCATTTGCAACTATGATGTATCTGTATAAAAGCATGGGTATGCTTGACGAAGCAATTGATGTTGCAGATAAGATGAAACAGTCTGGTTTGTTGAGGGACTGTTCTTCATACAATAAGGTAATGGCATGCTATGTTACGAATGGCCAGTTACGTGGGTGTGGTGAATTGTTGCATGAGATGATTAGGCTAAAGATTTTGCCGGACACTGGAACCTTTAATGTACTGTTCACTGCACTCAAGAAGGGAGGCATTCCAATTGAAGCTGTAACACAGTTAGAGTCATCATACCAGGAAGGGAAACCCTATGCAAGACAAGCTGTTATCGTTGCTGTTTTCTCTTTAGTAGGCTTGCATGATTATGCACTTGAGTCTTGTGATGCCTTCACAAAAGCAGAAATACCTCTTGAGTCTTTTGTGTACAATGCAACCATATATGCTTATGGGTCATCAGGGCAGATTGACAAGGCCTTGAACATATTCATGAAAATGAAGGACGAGGGCCTGGAGCCAGACATTGTTACCTATATTAATCTTGTGGGTTGTTATCGGAAGGCTGGGATGTTTGAAGGTGTGAAAAGAATATATAGCCAATTAAAATGTGGAGAGATTGAGCCCAATGAATCTTTATTTAAGGCTGTCATAGATGCGTACAAAGATGCTAACAAGCAAGACCTTGCTGAATTGGTCAACCAAGAGAAAATATTTGGTTTTGAAGGACAAAATTATTCCGACTCTGAGATTGAAGATGAGAGGGAAGACATTGTTCTAGACCCCGCAGAATTCAATGTATATTTACCAAGAGATGAAATTTGCCTTCAACCGAAGGCTGAAGGAGAACACACAACCTTCTCTATACTTTTAGACTCCTATTATTCAAATGTATGTTAGAATCTACTCTTTATTAGGGCTTATACTGTGTAGATTTAGTTTGTGTGAATGCAAGTCAAAGTGATGAAAAATGTACGATTTAAACACTGGCTTCCCTTTATACCAAAATTTGCCTGTTAAGTTGTCGCAGTTGTGTTGTGGTTGTCTGGTTCGTTAAGCCCCCCCTGAATAAATTCAAATAATAATAGCTGCTAGATCTTTCTTTATCTATACTTGCCATGTGGCTTTGGAATAGTGTCATTGGCATTCAAAGCCCTGTTTGGCCATCCAAACTTTTCTTGATTTGTGTACTGTTAGCCTGTTGACCCAACTAATATCATCACTCTCAACGAATGATACTGTATAGAGTTGCTGTGGGTTCTAAAATCATAAGCATTGAAAAAGAAAGGATATTTATCTAATGAAATTTGAAGGTTGACATGAAAAATATGCAGCAACAAAAGCTGAAGGTTGGATAAAGCATGCATTCAAATGTGCCTTCTAAGTCTGAAGATTCAAGCTTGTAATAGGAAATAAGCAATAGTGGACAGAAATGTATTTCAGCCATGCAAGAGTAGTATGCAAGACTACTTTGACATGGTATCAATTAAGTGCCAAACAGAAATATTGGCTGCCTTAAATTTTGGAAGGTTGGCTTAGTTTTTCTTCAGTTGACTTTTTGGGATAGAAATAGACCCTAGACATGCCAAAACAGTACTAACTAGAGCGGTCTCATCTCTTCACACTACCATATAATCAGTTGCTTATGGCTAAGTTAATCCAACAACATAAATTGAGTCAATCAAACCAAAGATATGGTTCAAAACTTGCAAAGAATAAAAATAGAAAAGAAATTGGAGCTGATAGTTCAAACCCGAAAATGAAATTTACTATCGATGAGCATGTCAACAAAAGGGTTCACTTCAATTCAACCGTAATAGAGTTAAGGTGAGACAAAAGGAATAATAAAGGTGAAGGATGATTTTGTATAATTCAAGTTCTTCTGGCCTGGGATTACCTTGTACTCCCATTATGAGTTTAATAAAAAATTGATGTGTTAGAAAAGAGTTTCCTGCCTGTTCAAAAAATTCTTAGTGCCCAAATTAACCAGGCAAAAGACCAAGAGAAATCATAATCAATTTCTCATAATGCTGGAGTATGGGATTCTACGAAACTCTCTTTCAGTAAGAAAATCTGATTTGCATGATCTGCGTTTGCCTACATGGTCATTAAACTGTCTGTCAGCAGGTCGTTCGGTGATTCTAAACCTTTAAGAGAACTTTTTGATGAACATCAGATGCCAATGGAAACCAAAGCTGTTTGGATGGCTTCACGAACTTTGAACTCTATACTCTCAGCAGGTCAGAAAGTTCGAATTTTGAACCAGGTTAGAAAATTAATTCACACTGATTTGTTCTCACCATCAGATTGGATCCCTAACGCGTAGAAATTTGCTACCTTCCTGGCATATCCATATCAACCACATCGAGACAAGAACCCATGTTACTAGTAGTCTCAATCCAGCTCATGCCCCTAATCTTCTTGACTCCTCTGTCTTTCATTAGCTTCCTAACCTTTATAGCATCATTCCATCGGCCAACTGCTCTATAAACATTAGCTAGGAGAACATAGCTCATATGGTAGTCAGGCGCTAGTTCAATCATTTTTCTTGCAATGCGCTCTGTGGTACTGGAACTTGTAATGGTTGAGCAAGCACCAAGAAGAACAGCCCAAAGAGATGAATCATCTCTAAATTCTGCATTCGCTATCAAATTTTCAGCTTCTTCCAGTAACCCAGCACGGCCCAAGAGATCAACCATGCAATTGAAATGTTCAATTCCAGGTTTAATCCCATATTCCCCAGTCATTAAGGTAAAATATTTTCGCCCTTGATCTACCAAGCCAGCATGACTACAGGCAAAGAGAACCCCAATAAAACTAATATAATCAGGCTTAAGGCCCTCCTTGATCATCTCATCAAATATACTTAGAGCTTCTCCACCTCTTCCATTCTGAGCAAATCCATAAATCATTGAGTTCCATGTTATTAAATTTCTATTAGACATCTGCAAAAAGATGCGGAGTGCAAAATCAATACAACCACATTTTGCATAAAGATCGACTAAGGCTGATTCTACAATAACATCTTTCCAACCACCCCTTCTCACGTACTGGCAGTGAACTTCTTTCCCTTGTCTTACAGCGGCCAAACCTGCACATGCACGGAGAATAGTCCCAAAACAGTAGATATCAACCTCATCCGTTGCCCTGAATATTCTAATAACGGATTCATAGTCTTTATTCTGACAGTAAACACCAAGCAATGCAGACCATGAAACTGAATTCTTTTTCGACATCCTATCAAAAACACGCTGAGACTCATCAACCAACCCGCACTTTCCATACATGTCAAGAAGGCTGCTCTCAACAACCACATTTCCACATAGTCCAGAGGCAATGACCTTAGCATGTACTTGCTTCCCTTGCCTCAACCTCCCTAAATTCCCACATGCTGTCAATACTGTCCCAAATGTAAATCCATCTGGGATCAACCCATGATTCCTTTGCATCAAATAAAATAAACCCAATGCTTGGTTATACAAATCATTCCTCGTGAGAGCAGAAATAACAGAAGTCCAACAAATAGCATCCGGTTCAGGCAATTCATCAAACAACTGACACACCTCATTCAACTGACAATTCCTACCATAGAAATCAATCAACGCACTCGAAATTACACGATTCATATCAAACCCACGTTTCATAACCACTCCATGAAAGCAACACCCCAACCTCAACTTCCCAAGAACCGAGCACGCCTTGATCACAGTAGATAAAGTGAAGCCATTTGGCTCAACTCCTGAACCCCACATTTCGAAAAACATTTCAAGCGAACTCTCAGGCTTACCCGCTTTAACATACCCCGAAATCATCGATGTCCACGATATAACATCTTTCACAAACAACCCATCAAAAACTCTCCGAGTTTCTCTAAAATCAGGACCCAACTTAAAATACAGAGCAAGTAAACTATTACCTACATAACGATCCGTCTCGAGACCAGATTTAATCACGTGGGCGTGGAATTGGAGCCCATGTGGAAAAGATTGAACATTTGTGCAAGTTTGCAAGAGGCAAGCGTATAGTAATGGTTTGTTTGAAGAGGTTGTTTGGGAAGGGAAATGTGCGGCGTTTAGGAGATGGATGGCAGAGAAAAGTTCAGCTGACTTGCAAAAATGGAGGATTTGGGAATACTTGTCTGACGGATATTTGATGGGATTTGGGGGGTTTAAAGAAGCGAAAGAGCAGCAATGGCGTTTGAAGAAGGAGAGCTTCATCAAACTGATTTTTGAGTAAATGTATTCTTTAGCGGTCTTTTGGTGGTTTCAAGTACCTGCGCCCTTTCCGTATTTCTCTTTCTTATGTAAAGGTTCGGATGTTGATTTACTTTATTCATCTTGTGTATGTGACCATCAAGTCACAAAGTCGTAAGAAAAAGATAAAGTTTCACATCTCTCTAAACAACAAATTTTACTTTGTCCGTCGATATTTGTTTGTCTTACATTGATTTTTATCAAATTAGAAAAAAGTTTTGATTTTAATATATTTAATTTTAAAGTTTTGATTTTAATATATTTAATTTTAAAGTTAATAACACATATGATTTTTATATTTTATGTTAAAATTTATATTAATTTTTAAATTTTTAAAAATTTTAATTGAGTCTTTAATTACTTAAACGTATATTAATGTAGTCTCTTTATCTACTGTAACATCTAAAATTGATGAAAAATTTAATGTGACATGACATGTAATTTTACAAGCAAAGATAAATGTATTATGGACCTTTCATATACATTGTATGAGTGTGGCTCATTCTCTTTAGTCCCCAGCGACATTATTTGTATTAAGTAAAAAATTTTAAAGTTAACAACTTCTAGTTTTTGTTCTAAGCTTTTTTTTCATGTCCAACCTCTCTCTAAATTTCCTTTTCTTCGAACCAATCAATATCAACAGTACTAACTCAAAAGCCAATACTTATTATTACAAAGTCATCCACCGTTTTTGTTACCGACTATTGATCTCTCCAATGACCACCGTCGATTTTCATGGTTATGTTAAAAACTTCTTTCGAATCCTCTCTTCTCTTCACCGACCAAGATTTAACTACGACTCAAATTTAGCGAATTTGACCTTTTATTATGTTTGGAAAACCCAAACAGAACCATTAGACTTGAAAAAATTTTACTGCTAGACCCTTCTTTTGCAATGCCTCTCTTTATACATTCGACTTTTATTTAATCTTAATGGATTCTATTTTTTGGGTTTAAGCTCTTGGTTTTCTACAAACTGGTTTACCTCATGGTCAATTATCAGCTGTAACTACTTGTAGGTTGTAAGTATGGATGATTTTGAGTTTGATTGTTGATGTTGTAGGTTTTGTTAAATTAGAGATTATGGATTGATTGGGTGGTGGATTTTTTATTAGTAATTTCTAGTGGGTTTCTAGGTAAGGTTTGATGGATTGTTTGTTTGGAGGCTAATTGAATTTGTTGTTAAATTGCTTGAATGTCTATTGCCAAATTGTTTCCACTGTGCATTACTTGATGTGTGCTTGATTGCTTCTATCTTTGATTACTTCTATCTTTGATTGCTTGTTGTCTCTCTAAGTGTTTGATTCCTCATTTGATTGAGAATTTTTTTGCTTAAAATCCAGGACAACCATATACGTATTCAACTTTCTAAGGGTATGTGTCATGTCATACTAGATTTTTCATTAATTTAAATGGTTTAATAGACAGAGGGACTATATTGATACATGTTTGAATAATTGATGACCCAATTAGAACTTTTTAAAATTTAAATATCAATATAAAATTTGATCCAAAATTTAGGGACCATGTGTGAGATTTATTCTTAATATTAAAATTAAATTTTTTTTATAAAATTAAAGTTTCATGATTTTTAATGTCAAAAAGTAAAAAAAATAAATTAAAATAAAAAAAGTAAAAGTTTTAGATATTCAAAAAAGAAAATAAGATATAATTTGGAACATCTCAAAAAAAAAAAGATGGACAAAGAAAATGGGATAAATGGAGTACTAATATACCATGTCACATGGTACTTTTTTCTTTTTTCTTATATTCTTTTTGTTTCCTTACAAGAGTTTTTTTTCTTATTTAAAATTTAAAATTTTTACCAATTTTAAAAAAATTTACAGATTTTTTTTAATTTTATAAATATTTTTAAAGATTTAAAAAATTTTCAAGTTGAAACCCTTTTATCAAAATTTTTAAAATTCACCTATTAAATAAATTTTGCTCCGTATAAAACTTAATCTGAATGCCATATGTGCACCATACAATTTTTTTTTTCTTCTTTAAACTTTTTTAACCATTTTTAATTTTTAATTTTACTTTTATTCAAGATTTTTTATATTTAATAAATATTTTTATTTAAATATTTTAAAGATGGGATACACTTTGCACAAATCTTTCTTTTTTTTTTATTTGTTTGCTTTTCTTAAATTTTTTTCTTTTAAAACTTTTTTATAAATATTTTTTAAAAATTTTAAATTTTTTTTATAAGACCACTTAATACTAAAGGTATGCTACATGTGTGCTTTTTTTTTTTTTTCTTATTTCTATTATTTTTTAATTTAATAAATATTTTAAAGATTTTAAATTCTCTTTTATGTGATTCGCTTGATATCAATGGTGTGTCATGTGTCAAGTCTTTTACTTCTTTTTTCCTTTTTCCTTTCTTTCACCTTTTTTTATTTACTTTTTATTTTTTTCCTTTTTAATATTAAATTAATATTTGAAATATTTTTAAAATTTTTAAGCAATGTCCATTTGACATTATTGATTAAAAATATTTTTTCTTTTTTTCTTTTTTATTTGATATATTTTTAAAAAATATTACAAAGGTGTTGTCATCACATAAGAATTTGACTTTTCTTTCTTTTGTTAGTCTTCTTTTTTTTCTTTTTGGTTTTTTTAATTCATGATATAAATATATGTTTTTATTTTTTATTTAATTATATATATGTATTATATAAATAAAATAATTATTTAATACCTTAATTTAAGAAATTCACGTACCATTTTCATTTTAACTTCCTTTTTTTCTTCATCATTTGTTTATTCATACTCTAAATCCTACATGTATACAAAAATTTTACAAGGTATCAAGTGCCACTTCAATACATTTTCTTTTTTTTTCATTATTTATTTATTTATTTACTTGCTTTTAATATTCAATCAATATTTTTATAGTTTAAAGTTTTTTATGTGTGGAATCTATTAGATGTTATTGAAACAAATGTGTGTATACATATATATTTATTTTTATGTGTTAAGTAATGTGTATATATATATATATATTATTTATTTGTATGTGTTAAGTCTGTGTTAGATAGATTTTGGTTCCTCTAGATCCAATAAGTGCATTTCTTTTTTTAATTCGAGATCAGATCGAGGTTTTTGAATTAAGGTTGGATGTGAGTTAAAGATGTTTCACCTCTCTAAGCATATATAAATATATATTATTATTTATTTTAATTTCATACTTATATATATGTATTATATTAACAAAACTATTATTTAATACTTAAATATTAATAAATTTACGTTGCCTCCTCATTTGACTTTTTTTTTTCACTATTTTCATATGGCATCTTGATGATCTATCTTTTTCCTTTTTAATATTTTTTTCCTTTCTTAATTTTTTTAATTAAAAAATTATTACTTGATACCTTAATTTAGTAGATTAACATTTTAAACTCAATTCGATGTCATGTTGTACATACACTTGTTCAAAGGTTGAGCTACTTGCCAAAGTCCAAAGGCTCGCCTAAGTTTTAAGAGAGTTTGGATAAGAAATTAAAGTCCATTAAATGGGTTTGAGCATAATTTTTAAGCTTGTTTAAATTTCGAGTTAGGTCTTAAACAACAATATTAAAGCCTGAGCCTAGCCCAAATAAACTACATATAATTAAAATATTATAATTATATAAGTATATATATGATTTTTATTTTTTATTTTTTAAAGAAGGATTTTTTTTAAATTTGTATTATATAAATTAAGTTTAATGAATGTATTTGGGATTTATTTTTTTAATTTCAGCTGGGCTTAAGAAAAGTTTGAAGCTTGAAATATTAGGTTAAACCGAGCTTGAATAAGTTTATAAGCTATTAATACCAAGTATGAATCTGACCTGAACTCGAGCCCAATCCATTTCGACCCATAAACACCTCTAGTTGTACCTCAATAAGCCCATTTTCCCCTTTTTTTCTTTTTTTATTATGCTTTTCTAAATTAAATTAATTTTTAAAAAAAAAGACCAAATGATAATTTTGCATGGCACGCTCATTTGGGTTTTTTTTTTCTAATTTTTTAACTTTTTAATTGAATAATTTTGCAACAAAATGTGTCAATTGATAGAGATAGCAAAATAATTCGTATTCGATGAGTTTTGATATATTTTGATACAATAAGAGGTAATTCTTTTTCAAATTCAGATAGAATTAGGATTGATCAAGTTTTTTTTAGAGAAATAAAGTCAGGGCAAAAATGTATTTATGGTGTTCTGTCCCAACCCATTTTAAGAAATATATACCAAAATATATAAAAGCATATGTTTTATTATTAATTTTATTATATATATTATATTAATAAAATTATTATTTGATACATTAATTTAAAAAATTAATATTTTAAACCAATAAGAGTGTCCATGTGGCACCCTCTATGAATCTATTTTATTTTTATTTTTTTTATCTTTTCGCTTTTTTTTAATTCTTTTAATTAGACAAAATTTGTAAAAAAAAAAATGAAGCAATTGAAATATCATTTGTAGACATCGAATAACAATTAAAATAATCAAAAAAATAAAAATAAAAAAAGAAAGAAAAAGAGATAGAAAGGCATGGTGCCATGCACGACACCAACCTCTCTGACTACTCCAGCCATACCACCTACCTGTTGAAACACCACTAACTCTTTTGACTACCCTAGCCATACCCTACCCTTACACCAACAACCCATTCCCCTGAGAGCCATACCTCGTCGACCCCAATTGCTACCATAATCTCCCAATTGTCACCATTATCCCTTGGTAGTGCGGATTACAGCTAAGGAAGATGGGGTTTGTCCTCGTTTGGCCTATAAATAGAAGTTTCATAGAATAATAATAAAAAAAGATGAAACTTTGTAACAAGAGAAAGAAAAAAGAAAATTCTACCTAAAATAAAAAACCACAAAAAAAATTGCCAAGAAGCAAGAAAAAATGGATGATTAAACAATAATTGTCAGAAAGTAACCCTAATGCGAGGTTCTAGCATCAATTTTCCTTGAAAACAGCCCTGGCCAACCCTAGTACCATCAAAACCCCTCAATTCCTCAACTGCTTGCACCCAGCATCCACAACACTCAAAACCCCAAGCTCT